TCTATTGGATCAGCTGAACATTGTGATGGATGCCATCTTATAACATACACCTGTTTCTGTGTATAATGCTTCTTCTTCTCTGGTCCTAATGAAATAATAATACTAGCATGAATAATAATTAATTACATCAAGTACAATACAATATACTAAAAAATATACTGAGATATACTGACCTTTCAATGGTTCCACATACATTTCCCTACTAGTTTCAATCAACTTATCATCAAGATATACTGTATAAGGGTGCACTCCATCCTTGTCACGTAATCTCATTCTACACAATAAACCACATGATAGTCACATGATAGTCACATGATGTACTTACTTGTCTAATTCAAGGACACAGTCAATTCCTTGTACTTTTGCTTCTTCAATAATTTGTTTCTTAATTTCTCCCACTGGTGTACCCTTAGCAACAATGTACTCCATCATAAAAGTACAAAACTAAAAATTTAAAATAAAACATAAATGTCATGTCTCGAAATTGCGCGTGATTTAATTATTATTTAATAAGACTGTGTCATGCATTATTGAATGTGGGATGTAATCATATGCGTGTGATCTAATTTTTACAAATTTCTAATCCAACAAAATTAAAGGCATGGTAAAAAATTTCTAGATAGGCATTAGGCAGTAACAAGAGTAAATATTCTCATACACTATACCTTTGTATTGTTAACTTGTAATAAATATAATTTGATTTTGCACTCTCCTCTTTCTAATCCTCTACCCAGTCTTACTATCAACTAGTAGATACACAAAGTAATAAAGAGATGAATGTGTGTGTGTGTGTGTGTTATCAGGGGCATATCTAGGAATTTGGAAAGGGGGCCTGGTGCTGGGGTACAGAAATTTGCAAGAATGGCAATTATGGGCATGCGAAGTGCTGCGATTTTGATCACGCCCACTTTTATGGTGGTAAAACGGCATTTTCCTTCATTTTTGTCAATTACGGGTGGGGTCAGGATAATTTCAAGCATACTGGTACTTCTGATCACTCGTTAAAGCACTGGAAAATGCTAAAATTATAATCAGGGGGTTAGATAACTTTATTAAGAGGCTTGGTAGTGATGCTAGAGTTCAGAACTTCAGCTATTTTTTTCTGAGCCCAGCCATAAGGGGGGGTGCTCAAGCACCCTCAGCACCCCCCTGGATACGCCCCTGGTTATTAGTACTTATAGTAGTGTATAATGTAAATACCATATAGGGGTTTTATTTTTTGGTAAAAAATTTCGCGAATTTGTTCAGATTTGCCATTTTTTAGTATAAATTTTTGCAAATCCTACCTTCTGCAGCCATTTTTACTAGTGTGCCACACCTCTTTTGTGGAATTTAATTTCACGAATTTAATGAAAATGCAAAATTCGCGAAATT